AACGCTTAACGCAATTTTTAACTCCACGTGATTATTTCATCAGTGACTGGCAGAAAATTCGAATGCACAAATCAACAAACGTCTTGAACACACAATTGATTTTTGAAATTCAACTATTCTTGAATACTATTTTAGTAAGTTTTGCAATTTTTATAATTCATTTATGTTAAATATTTTTCATAGAATTGAGTATCTTGAGTAAACCATAGACTCTCCACTAGAGAGCAAATAAACGTTACAATATTCAAAACCACCTAACATCAAAGAAAACAACGCAGTTTCGTGTCCCTTTACTGGAGGGTCTATGAGTAAACTTGGAGCAGGAATGTAATGACTTGAATGCTCGCTCAACATGTATTACAATATTACACGTGAGCTTCACGGGGAATTCTCTGACCTATTGTCCCAATGCGAGTCATTTTCTAGATTATAGTGCATATATACATTAGGGGGGCGATTTGGGAGGCCTTATTTATTAAAAGAAGTAATTTAACGAATACAACTTTGAGTGGCAACTCCATCACTTCATTTACGTTCAAGATAAAACGGCAGGGCAAAAATGACTGATTGATTGAATAAATAAATGAACAAATTATATATACCCCTCCTCACGGGTATTCCGCGTCGTTTTTTTTTATCTAGACGTCACTATGACGTGTAATCAACTATTTTTGACGTTTTGATTATTTTCATCCTTTGGGGCTGTATACACTAAACTAACACTAAAAGTAGAACAGTAATCAACAATCTTCCCTCATTTTACGACCGGCGAGCACATCTTGACTCAACACTTTTTAGACTAACATGCAAATACGATTTCTGGGGAAATCCCAAAACGTCGGAACCATAACAGACAACTGGTAAAATTAGAATATCAAATAGGTTAAATATATGTTTTCGGGCAAGAATTTCAAATTTGGCACACATTTCCCTAGAATAGACATAGCTAGATGTTTTGTAGTAACAGATAAAAAAAATCTTACTCGTCATTACGTACTGCTTTAATTGCCATGTACTGTTCTCATATATACCTGCACACATATTTATCTATGTGTCGTCAATTTCTATATAGACTACTACTTCTATCTCGGCCGTATTTAGTGAATGTATATAGTACATTGATTAATCTTTTTAAACATATTACCGTATTAGAAAATATAATGATGTCGTCAGCATACAATAACATAAATAGGTTATACATATCATTCGATAAAATCTCTATACCCCGGTAACCTCAATCTTGCAACATGTTTTCCAATGCATTTACATAAAAGAACTGGACTGAACATACAGCCACGTCAAAGCCTTTTTTGAAGCTCAAAATAACGTGATATTT